TCCAAACATGACCTGTTCACGCGGAGCTGATCGAGTAAAGGTGGCACCCCAATTTATTTTTAGCAAAGTTGGCGAGCAGATCAATTTAAATACAAATAGGAGGAAATTTGAATATGCAAAGTATTTGAGATGTAAGAGCAATACTTACCAATCCCTACAGGCAAATATGTCGCAGTGAGATTTCAAATCTTAGAGGACTAAGTAAAATTTATAATGAAAAAATATATACTAACGATCACTAGGAAGAACCAATCATAATCTTATATATATATGTATGAAAAGAAAATTGTTTCGAGGAATTTCTCGGTATTTTAGTGCTTAATTGACTTTCCTCTCGAGAGAAAATATATGGGGAAAAGATTCATTGAGCTTTATCAAGAGAGGATGGCCAAGAATTCATCTTGATTTGCTACCATTTGTTTTTACTGATACGTTTAGGTTGAACAAGTCTACGCGACGGTTTCTTTTGATCAAGCTGAGGACATGTTAAACTTGCATCTGGTTATGATCAATCGACGGATTTCTTCACCCGACCCTTTCATACGAAATGAAAATAAGTAGCTAATGCCATATTTATTCGAATGATTGCTAGATTATATTTAGAGCCCATAAAGATACTTATTATGGGTTTGTCAAATACATCTTGAAATTTATAAAAATAATTGGATTTAGCGTCGAAGCATCATAGCAAATAAATGAGCATCGACTGTGAGAAGATCAAACATTTAGATCTCTCCAAATAAAGGAAGGAAATGATAGATAAGCGTCTCCTCTGAGCGTAAAGACATAAGTTCTTTGAGACGGGTAAATTTTTGTTAGCTAAAAGAGTCTAGTAAGGCTTCTGTCAAGAAAATTAAGTTTGTAAGATTTCATCTTATCATAATTTAAATTGATTTTTACTACAACTTGAAGTTTTGTTTTCTCTTGTAAAATGGCCCCGGCAACCAAGGTTTGCAGACCCTTTGCGAATTTAGCGGAATCGCAGAGTGCACCGAGGATAAAAAATTAAAAATGACGATCAAAAGAGGGCAACATGAGAAAGCGTAAGAGATATTTTGCAGAACTTTTAGATAAAATTTGGGAAAATGTTTGTTCTTGCGACTATACTTCCTAGGCATTTTGGCATAATAAGTGCGTTTGCATTCAGAGTAAACTGAAATAGACTTCAGCACCCTATCACATACTGGGAATCCTTAGTTGGGCTGTGTTGAGTACTAGGTAGACAGATGATTTTTCGAGCATTGGATGAGAGTAGCCTTCTGGAAAAGTGAAATTCGATAGCAGAAAAACAAATCTTTACTACATTTAATCGTAGACGGCTCAACTAGACACCGAGCAACTAAAGGTTAATTCTCATTGTAATAGATTTCTGTAAGCATTTTTCGTTTTAAAAACGGGCTTTAGAGACTACCAGTAGATATATATATATATATATCAATATAAGATTTATTCACCCTATTTCGTTTAAGGTTAAAAGGGGTCTGGCAGTAGAATTTTTCCCACAATGATATGAATAGGCCATACGTTTTCCTTCAATTTCACATGGCCTCGCTTTCTTAAAAAGTATTCCTATCCAGGCTGGATTATACTGCAGTTTCGACCTCGCCCCACCGTCCTATCAACACCCTCAACGGGACTCGAATCATGACAATGCAGCCTGTAATCTCGACGCGTTAACCACAACGTCGCATTGTCACGAGTTACGTTGAGTCACAGGGCAAATGTTAATTTCAAGGAATACCAGGCATTTTCCCATATCACATTCTGTGATGGGATTGTCGATGATGCAAAGTTGTATTTGCTGTCGACTGCATTACTTATTTTTCGTTTATAAGTAATGCAGCCAATAGCAAATACAACATTGCATCATCGACAATACCATCACAGAATGTGATATGGTAAAATGCCTGGTATTCCTTGAAATTCACATTTGCCCTGTGACCCAACGTAACTCGTGACAATGCGACGTTGTGGTTAACGCGTCGAGATTACAGGCTGCATTGTCATGATTCGAGTCCCGTTGAGGGTGTTGATAGGACGGTGGGGCGAGGTCGAAACTGCAGTATAATCCAGCCTGGATAGGAATACTTTTTAAGAAAGCGAGGCTATGTGAAATTGAATGGAAACGTATGGCCTATTCATATCATTGTGAAAAAAATTCAACTGCCAGACCCCTTTTTAACCTTAAACGAAATATAGTGAATTCATATAACATTTATGTAAACTGTTATAATCTATGAGATTAATTTTCAAACCAAAGTCAGACGATTTATCCAAAGCTCTCCGGACTTCATAACTTTCAACAACATTACCGTTTTGCCAGACTGCCGGTTCTGCTTTTCGTGGAAGTTCCAACGAGTCAAGCGCATCCTCACTAGCCTGGGACATGGTGCTGCCAGTCCTTGCAGCCAAACGGGCGGCTTTTCACCGGACATCTGTAGACTTTCGGCCAACTCATTCTGACTACAGACAGCAGCCTGCGCATGTTGCTCGCCGGAGCAGTCTCTCGAGCCTGAGTCTACAAGACTTGCTGTTGTCGGGTCGCCAAATAGCTCGTCTGGAAGAGCGCTAAATGAGTCAACAAAAGGGCCAAAATGATTTAAATGGTACAATTGTCGAGAGCACACGAGTTTGATTTGCGATATGTACTAATAATACTAAAACTGATAGTAATGAAAACTTGCTAGGAACTAGATGGCTAACATATCAGAAGAGTTATGATCTACCGATTCAAGAGTTATGAATGCTCGATGCTTATTCCTGTACCCCCTCTCTTTCCCTCTCCTAAGACCGATCCAACAGCTTCAAATAGTTCCTACACTATTTTATACACTCGTTCCTCCTATTCAGGACGTTGACTGTTTTGTTAATTTTTATAGACTTCTTGACCTTACGCTTTGACGTGAAGTCCCCGTAACCCACAAAATGTTGTTTTACACCAGTCTATTGTGCATCCTGTATTGACCATATGTCAGCTAGCTCAGATTTTTGGACCCATAGACCTTTACAAGCATTCTTGTGTTTACATGATCACATAACCTTGTAGCAGCCTGATTCACAAAGAGGGTCTGAAAATTCTCTAAACGAAGGAATTTACGAAGAAAGTGTTAATTTCTTTTTATACATTGTTTTTATGTTACACTTCTTCATTAGATCACCCAACACTTTTGCAAGTTGACAGGAAGGCAGATCCACTTGTCTATCTCGCCCCAGATAACAAACTCCCCTCATGGTGTTAACGACAATTGAAATGTAATTGTCTCCTAATCCTAATGGGTAATTGTTTTGAAGCAGTATATGCCTCAATCTACCAATCTCATGTTCTCTGTGCTTTAAATCCTCTAGACACAAATAGGCTTGAGTAATGGGAGAGGGAGTGCAGGAAGAACCACTGAGCAAGAGAAGGAGGCTGGACTAGCCTCGAGTCTAGCTAGGACTGCCACACGTCCTATGACATGAACATTACATACACACAATAGACATGAGCACAAGCCTAAACATGATTCAACATTAGACGATCGTACGCTGGTTTTTTGTGTAGTACAACAGTTGTCACCGAACGTACTTCCGGTTCGGAAAGTTAACTTCACTCATTTGAAAGCATGTAGAGTAAGGTTAAAGTAGCCAAACAAATCATGGGAGGCCTCAGTGAGATCGCCAAGTTATGTGTATATAAAAAACGCGATAAAGG